GGCACAAACTCGACACTGGACCCACTGCGCCAAAGCAGCTGATGCCTCAGTCTGGCTTATGTTGCTGCTGCTTCCTCGGATGGCTATTTCAGCTAAGGAACCCATCACTGCTGACCCCCACCTCCCCCCGGGAAGGAACCGCTCCCACCACAACACCCTGACTCGCAATTTTATCTCCAGTCCATCATTTGGAATTTTATCACCTATCACTGTCACCAAGTCAAAGTCTTGAAAACATTGAAGGCGTAACCACTCTGCAAGATCTGCAGAAGTTCAAGCTGAGGGCTCATTTCCACCTTCTCAAATATCTTAGGAATGGTCAATAGGTGCTGCCTTGCATATCATGAGAGATAAACTATATCACACCCTGGACCATAACCCCATGATGGAGCATCAGGCCATTGTGTCTACTATGCCAACTAACCTCATTTCATCTGGTGTTCTCACCCCAGCCCTGCATCCAAGGTAGTAGTCTCTCAACCCTGCACTGCTGGCTTCTACCACCTTCTCAAAATCCACTAACAGGACTGCCCAGGCTGACCCAATGTTTCTGCCTGCTCCTGCCCCACAGACTCATCTCTTCCTACCTCGACTGGATTTTTTCTCCCCTTGACCAGTCTCTTCCCACTTCAATCCATCATTTCTCTGATGCTTTATACCAGATTCAGAATTTCCAGTTTGCGAGCTCCAGCACCTCCTCTTTCCCATGGGCATGCAATACCTTTAAACATCCATCCCTCATTAAGATGGTCGCAGGGCTCTCTGCTTCTACCTGGAAGAAACGCCTGAACTGTCCTTATCCACCACCACCCTCCTCTGCCTGGCTGAGGTCATCCTCACCCTGAACAAATTCTCTTTCAAGTCCTCTCACTTTCTTCAGGTCAGAGGGGTGGGCATAGCTACCCATATTGGCCCCAGTTGTGCCTGTCTTTTTGTGGGGTATGTGGAACATTCCTTGTTCCAGTCCTATTCAGGCCCCCAGCCACAACATTTTCTCCGGTATACCAATGACATCATCGGTGCTGTTTCCCTGTCTCATACAGAATTGGAAAAGTTCATCAATTTCACTTCCAATTTCCATTTCGCTCTCATCTTGACCTGGTCCATCTCTGACTCCTCCTTTCCCTTCCTCAACATCTGTTTCTATTTCTGGGGATAGGCTGGCCACCAATATCCACTATAAACCAACTGACTCCCACAGTTGCCTTGACGATACATCCTCACACCCTGCTTCCAGTAAACACTCTATTCCAATCTCCCAGCTCCCCCATCTCTGTCATGCCTATTCCGATGATGCCAACTTCCAAAAGAGGGCATCTGAAACATGTTCCTTCTTCCTCAACTGAGGACTCCCCACCTCCATAATTTACAGGATCCTCAGCTGGGTCCGACCCATCTCCCCACAATTCAGCCCTCAACCCCTCTTTTCCTTCGCATAATAGCGATAGGGTCACCCTTGTCTTCACCTACCATCCCACTAGAATCTGCATCCAGACGATCATTACCCTCCATTTCCACGATTTTCAGCAGGATGCTACTACCAGACATATACTCCCCTACCCTCCCCTGGCAGCCTTCCATTTGGACCATTCCCACTGGGATACCGTGGTCCACACCTCCTTCATTCCCCCCCACAGTCCCACAACACTTTCCCCTGCAACTGTAGAAGGTGTAACACCTGCCCATTTGCTTCCTCCCTTCTTAGTATCCAAGGGCCCAAACACACCTTCCGGAATAAGCAGCACTTTACCTGCAGTTCCCAGTTGTCTAGTCTACTGGATGCTCACAACGTGGTCTCTTCTACAATGGGGAAATGTAGACTGGGTAACCACTTCACAGAACACCAACGTTCTGTCCACAAAAAACCAAGACCCTTAGCTTCCAGTTGCCTGCAATTTCAACACATCACCTTATTGTCTGGTCAACACCTCTGTCTTAGGCTTGCTGTAGTACTCCAGTGAAGCTCAGTGCAAGCTGGAAAAACAACATCTTATTTTCCACTTTGAAACTGTTTAGCCTTGTGGACTCAACATCGAGTTCAACAGTGTTAGGGCTTTTGATGGGAGCACCTTCTCCCATGTTCTCAGCCCAACCCCCACACACCAGGCCTTGTTATCACATGGTCTGCTATTACACACTACCCATTGTTAGCCACTAACAGTCCCCATTCACAGCCATTCATTCTCCCAGGCTGATCATTTTCCAATCCTTTGTCTGTCCAACTGTTCTTGTCTTTCTTAGGGCTCTACCTCCACCTATCATTTACTCCTTATATAAAAGCCAATCTTTTCCTAGCTACCATTAGCTCTGAGGAAGGGTCACTGAGCCCAAATTCTCTCTACAGATGCTGCCAGACCTGTTAGGCTTTTCCAGCAATTTGTGACTTTGTTGTTTTAGATAAAATATAGATTCACTCAGCTAAGTATAAAAGATCACATGACACAATTTCACTAAAGAGAAAGGGAGTTGTCTCTTCAATCCTAGCCAACATTTATCCCTCAGCTAACAACTAATGACAGATTATCTGGTAATTATCACTTTGTTGTTTACCTCAAATTGGCTGCTGTTCCCCCAACTCCCGCTCCCGCTCCCCCCCACCCCACCCCACCCCACCCCATGTCAATAATGACTGTGTTTCAACAAGAATTTAATTGCCTGTAAAGCACTTTGAAATATCCTGAAGTCCTGAAAGGCACTTTATAAATACAAATTATTCTTTCTCAACAAATGCTGATTGTTTGAAATCAGCTGCCAAGATTTTAGAAACCTCTCCTAACCTGTATTTAGTTGTGTTCTTCTATTTCACTATGTGATTAATCACAACACATGATCAGACTCATGATTGATATTCTGCTCCCCATTGTGTGATCACAGATGGTTACTCAGTGGCTACCTACACTAGAGGTTTTGTGCCAGTAATTCCAAGTTCTCAATACATTAAAAACTACTTTTGAAAATTGTAAAGTCATTGCCCCACCCCCCAACAACATTGTTACATGTTGTTCTTTTATCAGCATAACGAAGAAATAATTGCCAAAGAGTCTTAAATTATGCATTTTATGAGTGAACTAATAGATGATTTGGAAGTTTTTTTTACCTTATAATGAAGATAATGACATTTTATAAACACCTCAGTGCAGAGCTCAAAATGAAACTGCCTACATCAGTTTCTTGCAACACTTCTTTCAATGAAGCTATTTATTATTTCATGTGTTCTCCCTTCACCCCCTCCCCATCCCTGACCATAGGTTGGTACAGCTCACCAAATATTCCCAAATTAGTTTAGAATAGGGACAATTCATACTGACTCTCTGATTCCCTCTAATTAACTAATCTTCTATCCATGCTAATATTCCATCCGTTCATTGAGCCCTTAACATGCCTATCAATGTTTTGTGTATCAACTCATTTATTACCTTTTGGAAATCCAGGTATATTACATTTACTGGACCTTCTTTATCTACTCTGCTCTTGTTACAGCCTGAAAGTACTCTCACAGATTTTCCTTTTGTCATCTCATCTGAGCTTGTTCTAATCTATAGTTTTCTAAGTGGATAAGTTATTCTTAATAATAGATTCAATCATTTTCCTAACAAATGATGTTTGATTAAATGGCCTGTAGTTCACTGTTTTCCATCTCCTTTCTTTCCTGAGAAGATATGTAACATTTACTGACTTCCAATCTGACTAGATGTTGCCATACCTAAGAAATTCTGAAAGCTCATAGTCAGAATATTCACTATTTCTACTGTTATTGCTTTTAGAATCCCAGGGTATCAGGTCCCAGAGATTTATCAGATCTTAGTGCCCTTTATTTCTTCAAAACTTTTTTTCTCTGCTAATATTATCATTATTTCCTTTTAGCTACTAGTTTCCTCTCTATTGCAAACATAGCTAGGTGGGAAATGCCCACTTTATCAGAACCTTTTTGAAGGTTAGGAGTCTCCTCCTCTGTTCATTGTTCTTAAGGTGGCTACAGTAGGGAAAAGAGGCCATCATCCACCTTTTCCAGGAATTTGATGTTCCAAAACAGTTGTGGTAAAAGTTGTAATTTTTTTATGTTGAGGTTCAACCCAAGCAGTTGATTGATGCAGCACTCAGTGGTCTCCAGGCTGCTCTCAGGGATACACCCCAGGGAAACAAGAACTAGGTGAAAAACATTCTTTGATCTGCCCTAAACATGTTGGTCTTTCAGTGCAAAGAGCTGTTGATGACTGAGTATTGCAGACTGACACATTCCAAGCATCAGGACTTCATGCTGAGGAACACAGAATAAAACTTGGGGCATCTACTGCAAAGGCCCAATGGGAAAGTATCACTGTCAGAATCCCTCTTGTTAGAGATTTGGAGTTGGGGGCAGTTGAAGACTGTGAAAAAATGTCCTCTGGCTATATGTTTGACATTTAATTAATATTGTAAATATTAACTGCAATTTCTAATGTATTGCAAGAACATGATTGGCATGTACTTTATGGAACATTAACTTTGAGCAGTCATGTATGTGTTTTCATAAATATTATAAGTATATAGCACTTTTTGGACAAATGACTTGGTAACTGACAGGCACATTGTCCATTACTGTACCATCCACGTCCCTTGATAATAGAACTTTAGCACAATATTGCAACTGCCCGGTGATTAAAAGCAGCATGTAACTACTACAATAGCCTAAATATGGTGAGGTCAATTAGAAACAAAAAAAAAGGGATGCTTACCAATGCCTAACTCTAGCTCAAGAAAACTGAGAACCTCTCATTCTTTTCAAACTTACTGGTGACTTGACCAGATTTTCAACAGAACTCCCTGTTCTTAAAAAAAGTGTTTTAGTGAAGAGATGTTGAGTTCTTTAGTGAGAAATCAATTGAAAGTTTTGTCTTAAAATGCCCATTTTGTGCCCAGCGGAACATTTTAGCAGTGTCAATGTTGTTCTCAGGACAAACCAACAGTACAAAGGTAATTTTTTGTAAACAGAATTTATTACTCAGATGCCACGTAACATAAAACAAAAGTAAGTAAAAAAAAATTAGCAATTATCCCTTTACATATGATTAAGTCACACAAAAAGGATTAAAAACAAGCCGTTCACATTATAAAAATTAGAAAAAAAAAACAGTCCACGTTGAAAGTTTTCACTGACAGCAGTTACATTTGTCACTCGCTCCCTTGCACACACAACCCTGTGCACATTTGCTGCAGCCGGCGGGACAACACGCACAGCAGCCTGGATAAAGAGAGAAAAAGAAAGCGATGAAAGCCAAACACTCCTAAATTACCCATTTCTACTGTCGCACACAGAGACGGCAGCGGCCCATCAGTCCTTGAATATAATTATAATGGGACGCCGCCAACCGCTTACTGAACAAACACACGGATTATCCAGCCACAATTCAATGATCCAAATGTAAACCGACAACATTACCGGAAAAGATTTATTTTAAAAAGTGGATTTAATTGGATGAAATTATCCCCTCCAAATAAAAATAGACATTAGCATTCCCGAAGACAACCCCTCCAACAGATCCAGACCTCCGGTATCAGTCAATATTTAAACATAAACATTGTACAGCAGATTCTGGAGATTTGAAATAAAAACATGAAATTCTCCAGCACAATTTAACAGGTCTGGCAGCAGCGTTGGAGAGTTGTTGGTGTTTTTGTTTCAGTCAATACTCACTCTTCTTGCACGATACACACTTGCAGTCTTTACATTTACAATTGTTTCCGCAGTTACAAGAGTCGCCTGTTTATGTAAAAGAAAACAGAGTTACAAACTGCAAATGACAGAGAAAGAAAAACACAAGTCCGTCTCTAACATGAGGTTCCATCATTTACCCAGGTTACACGTGCAAGGAGCGTCAGACATCCTGTCAGCTTCGTTTGGTGCTAGGTCTTGTCGTCGTTGTTGTTGTTGTTATCCGGTAACACCGCTGTCTTCAGTCCCAGTTGTTGTATTATAGCCACTGCTGGCTGCTCTGTATTTATAGAGGGATAGCCGAGCCCTAACACCGAGTGCAAACTGAAAACTCAGCGCAAAGCCGGGAGGTGGTGCACACGGTTTCAACTTGGGCGCAATGTGCAAAACAACAGGGCTTAGCGCCAGCCGTGGAGGGGGCGGAGAGACATAGAGCGGCCTGGGATCGGTTTATCACAGCGGGTAGTGTTGGTGACCTTCGATTTACTTCAACTTTCAGTCACACTCTTTCTGCAGCCGCCACTAGAATTTGTGCAGTCAGCAAAACTTAACAGTTTAGAAACTGCCCCGCATACCCATATTGTAAATATTATTTTTACAAACGTCTAATACTCCCAGCATCTGACGGGATGCGGAGGCGTCCATATATTAGATTCCACATCATAGTGGGGTGGCGTGGGGGGAGTAGGGAACAGGTTTTTTTCTCCCCATTCTGAAAAAGGGGCTAGCTTCCCTTCCAGCTCTCTTACTGTTGTCCCCTCTTTTGTCAGTTTCATCAGCTGCAACTTTGTAACGTTATTTATTGTCAATTGATCCGTTTGACCAGAGGGTCTCTAAATGAGCGTGAGGTGAAATGTTCATTCAGGCGCTTCCCATTCCGTTTCATTGAGAATTGGTTCTCGGGTAAATAAAACTCCTCTGAACAGAAGGTTTCGCAGTCGCCTGCCCTTTGACCGATATCCCATTCTGCCTCAGCGCTGCACACGACCCACACTTGGACTTTTCGGACCGAGCGCAACGCCAGCCTTTTCCACACGGGGCTGCGCTTACATTAGGACCCTTCCAACAACGTCACACTGAACAACAACGGGAATGTTTGAGAACAGTCCCGTGACTCATTGATACTCGATCTCCACCCCCCACTGTGGTTGGGAAACGCTGTTGCGTTTGTTTTCTAACATGAGACTGTACATTGCAACGCTTCACAATGTCACAACTCCCGAATAAAATGGACCGAATTCTGAATGAGTGAGCGAGTGAGAGGAGGGAGGGTGCTTTCTCTATAGGGTCAGGGATCTTGAATTAGAGGACACTATTTAAAAAGAAGGGGCTCCTCCCATCTGAGACGGAGGCGAGAATTTTCTTCCCTCAACAGGGTCGTTCATCTTTCGAATTGTCTTTCTGAGAGCATTGAAGTCTGTCTCACGGGAAAGGCTGAATTTAAATTTTTAATTGACAAGGTGATCAGGGACTGGCACAATTGCTGTCAAGGTCACATTCTGATCAAACATGAGTGTGTGTGTTTGGGGGAGGGGACGGTTAGTTTTCATGCGCTGAATACTCCTTACCCTAATTCTTCTGAACGGTGCCATAAGTCAAACGCAGATAGGGGAGTGCACTACAGCACATACAGTCATAGAGATGTACAACACTGAAACAGACCCTTTGGTCCAACTCGTCCATGCCGACCAGATATCCTAGATAAATCTAGTCCCATTTGCCAGCATTTGGCCCATATACCTCTAAGCCCTTCCTATTCATATACCCACCCAGATGCCTTTTAAATGTTGTAACTGTACCAGCCTCCACCACTTTCTCTTGCAGCTCATTCCATACAGGCACCACAGCCTCTGTGTGAAAAAGTTGCCCCTTAGGTCCATTTCAAATCTTTCCCTTCTCACCTTAAACCTACTTTGCACTCCCTTATCCTGAGGAAAAGACCTTGGCTATTCACCCTATCCATGGCCTTATGATTTTATAAACCTCTAAAAGGTCACTGCTCAGCCTTGAACGCTCCAGGGAAAATAGCTCCAGCCTGTTCAGCCTCCCCCTATAGCTCAAACCCTCCAATGCTGGCAACATCTTTGTAAATCTTTTCTGAACCCTTACAAGTTTCACAATATCCTTCCTATAGCAGGGTGACCAGACATGGTCAGGCCTGTACTTTTAGTCTTAGATTTCATTGCACTATGTGACATTTTAGTATAAAGACACATGTCCCCACCTTCGGTGGCTCTGTATAATAAAATCACTGAAATGTTTTCAGTCAGTTGGTTATATGTGTGTAATGTAAAATAACGTCAATAAGCACAGTACCCAGAGAATGTGATCTTGTAGCTGTGTAAGTAATTACTGTTGCTAATAAACTTCAAGATATCTGTCTCAAATGAGCCGGAGTCTCTGTGCTTTATATCCAATGGACTGATGTACAGAAAACCACAAAATGCATTGAAGATAAAGGACATTTATTCCAATTTGCCTCAGCCCATCTTAACGTTAAAAAAAACATTCACTGCAAATCTTGTCACCCACAGGCATCAACCTGTTTCCAATTTAAATTATTAACTAAACAAAATAAAAGATTTGAAAAACATTTGCACCTTTTGCAATCATTACACTCCCCCACATCCACACACACAGCCCCCTACCCTCACTCCTGTTTCATCAAATTTAATGATGTACAATTTTGGGAGTTCCCAGGACATATTCTTCAGAAAGTCAGTGTAATGTTATCATTTTATTCAACTTAACCTTTAGATACTCTTAGTTCACAATTGATAAATTCTGTAATTCAGAAATATTGCATATATGAAAGAAAAAGGGGCATTCGTGTTTCTTTGTCATCAGCAATGTCAACCAAATCTTTTCAATAACAGCTAATCCTCTCCTTCAAAGATGCTATGGCCCCTTCAGAAGTACACCACCCTTTAAGCTGTGCAGTTTACAGAAACTGTCTTCCACAAGGTGGCTTAGAGGTTAGCACTGCTGCCTCACAAGGCCAGGGACCCATGTTTGATTCGCTTCGGGCAACAGTGTGGAGTTTGCACATTCTTCCCATGTCTGTGTGGGTTTCCTCCAGGTGCTCTGGTTTCCTCCCACAGTCCAAAGATGTAGATGTGCAGGCTAGGTGGATTAGCATGGGAAATGCTGGGTTACAGGGATATTGTAGGTGTGGGTCTGAGTGGGATGCTCTTCAGAGTGTTGGAGTGGACTTGTTGGGCTGAATGGTCTGCTTCCATATTGTAGGGATTTTGTGATTCTATAATCCCTCAATACACAGGATTCTTCAGTTCTATTCTTTATCAACCCTAATTACTATTCAGAGACAATTCCCTGTGCAATGTAACCTGTATACCTCTGTCTAAGTCTTTTTGATCTGTGCATCCTTTGCTTACTATGATCTGCCTGTACCACTTGTAAACAAAGCTTTTCACTGTATTTCGGTACACATGACAATTAATCAATCAATCTTCATATTCAGATCCTTTCCCCAAAAACCCATATCCCGTTCAGAGATATGGTCTACGCATGCACATTTTCAGAAGGAATTCCTCTGGATGTCAGGTCAGAAGACTACCTGTCTGGGAAAGAAATTAAACTGGGTCCTTTAGAATGTATGTACCCCAAGATTCTGGTGCTGATTTTAATTTCTCCTTCTCAAAGGAGGGTTCCACAGCCCAGCCTTGTCAAGTTTTTCACCCACTACCGAGTCCCCTCACACCCATCCTATTCCTTTCATCAGTATCAGAGCAACATGTCTGTCAATTTAATATTGGAAAAGAGCCAATGTTTCATGCTGAATAATTGCTATGGTGCTAAAGGAGGTCATTTGGGTCATCAATCCAGATGTGTAACTTAGTTAGTGAAGTTCACAGTGCTCCAGAGCTTTCAAGTTCATTACTCAGACCTGAAAGGTTAGACTTATTGCTGGAAATTGGAATTCTTACCATTGGTTTCAGAAAATCTTACAAGGCAAAATCTTAATGGATGGACTGGTCCTGGTGGCAAGGAGTGGGATTGTTACTAATTCTTAAAGCAGGCAGGGTGTGTGATCATAACTGAATGTATTCTATACATTCTTTACAATCCCCAAGTTTTTGCTTTTATCAAGGGGTGTCTAAGCTCTGTGAATTTAGGTGGAACTAAGAGCTTTTAAGTGTGGCTATGAACTTCCCCATATTCAGCCACTCACTTGACCAGTTCTAAATGTTGGATGAAGACAGACCTGCATTTGTCTACTGTGCCTTGCCACTTGCAGTTTAATGGTCTGTCAACAACAATGTCAAGGTTCATATTTGAGCATAAATCTTTGGTAGAAAGTATGGGAAAGAGTCCAAAACTCAAAGCAGTCTGTAGAGAGGGTGAAACAAACTAGGTTTTAAGAACGAAAATTAAATACTGGAGGGTAAGTGTACAATATTTAAAGGCATTTTTAAAAATGCATAGAGCATTGACTCCTGATAATGTTGCTTGATAAAGTAGATGGTAAACAGGAAAGCTACTAAAGGAATGTGTGCTTGCTAATTGGTGTAACTCCACCTTTCAATGGCTATTGAGAAGATATCCTGGGACAGTTAAACCAATGAAAATCTCATTAAACATAGTAAAGAGGAAACTGAAGCAGATGCATGCTTGGCCACATTGATGACATCTGCACTTCAAGATGAACAAATAGATTTGGGATGAAATAGTTTTCCACTGTGACTGTGGCAAAGAGCTATTATAGTCTGGAACTCAAATTCTGAAAATATACCAGAGGCATGGTTCACAGTGAACTGTAAGATATGTTATAAAAACCGAAAGAACTGCAGATGCTGTAAATCAGGAACAAATACAAAGTTGCTGGAAAAGCTCAGAAGGTTTGGCAGCATCTGTGAAGGAAAAAAGAGTTTATGTTTCGGGTCCAGTGACCGTTCCTCAGTGTGTGTGTGAGATATGCTAATTTTAAATGTAAATGAGGTAAGTAGCAAAACAAAATTTTGGGAGAACCTAACATTGGAAAGCGCACCTCTGCTGATGTGGGGTAATCGATGCATCATGGTCCGGTGTTTAATTCAAGGACAGTGGTTTCTGTTTTTAGGATCAAATTGTTTTAAATGCCAAGCAGTGACCATCAGTGACAAGGGAGAATGTAGTCATCATCCCTTGACATTCATTGGCATTACCATCACTGAATTCCCCCATTATCAACATTCTGGGGGGTTACCTATTTTACAAATTACTCCCTCCTATCCCTGTCCCACTACTCTCTGAAAAAGCTGCGCCATCCAATTTTTACTTTGCAATTTTATTTGCAATATGTTGGTAGCTGTGCCTTTTGGCTGCCAAATCCCAATACTCCCAAAATCTCCTTGTGAACCAATCTTCCTGCAAGAAACTGCTGCACACCTAATTATTTGATCAAGACTTTCGTCACCTTACCTGTGACTTGGTATCAAATTTTGTTTAACAGTGGCCATGTGAAGTGCCTTGGAATATCCTATTTCGCTAAAGGCACTATATAAATGCAAGTTATTGTTATTCTGCTCAACTGGAATGTATAATCTAGGTTGAACCAATGCCTGTTGAGGGAGGCAAGGGAGGAAATCGCTGGGGCCCCAGCAGTAATTTCCAAATCCTCTCATGGATGAGGTGTGGGTTCCCAGGAGGACTGATAATGATGTCCCATTATTAGAAATGGGAAGAAAAGATAGACCAGAAAATTAGAGGCAAGTGTAACTTTGATGGTGGGTCAGTTCTTAGAAAGATTTCTGAAGAACGGGATTTATCTGCTTTTAGAGAGACAGGGATTAATCACGGTCACTTAGTATGGATTTGTTAAGGGGTCGTCATGTTTGAGAATTTTTTTGATTGAACTTTTTTTTGGTGGGGTAATCAGGACTGTTGATGAGCATAGTGTATTTGATATGGTTACATGGAACTTAACAAAGCTTTTGATAAGATCCCTCACAGTAGATTGGTCAAGAAAGTAAAAGTCCATAGGATCCAAGGTGAAGTGGTACCTT